TACCACCGTGCGCTGCAACAACAGAATCATGAGCACGTTTAATTACTACGATGGTCAGACCTTTCGGAATCCATAATTTCCAAATTGCTTTTTGAATAGGGTCATCACCACTATCATGCTGCGTACGTATGTACACATAACCGTCAACTATACGTACATCAGGGTATTTTGATTCATTTGCCAAAATATTGCCTTTCAAATTTTGATATTCCTCATCATCAAAACATGGAGAATTAAGATCAATTTCTGGACCGACATCTTCTAACTCTGCTACTTCGTCAGAATACATTCGAGAAAGGGCATCTGGAACTATGTTATCACGTCCTTTCCGATGACTTACGCTGAACCGATATCCCTGCAGTAGCATGGCCCATCTTGCCATTCTGCCTTTGAGATTGGATTGTCTCATAAGCCAAACCAGGCTTGCATGGTCTGTTATAACTTCAAACTCTTGAAGTTCTAAGTAACAACGAAATCGCTGAATAGCCTCTAGCGCTGCTAAACATTCACGTTCCGTGACACTATAGTTACGCTGAGCTGAATTTAATTTTCGTGACATAAAAACGACTGGCTTTTCTGTGCCGTCTTCAGAAATTTGTACTAAAACAGCACCTATTCCATAATCGCTTGCATCGCAATGTACGTAAAATTTCTTTGTAAAGTCGGGATTTTGTAATACTGGAGCAGAAGTTAACTTTAACTTTAGTTGGTCCATAGCCTTCTGAGCTTCTTCTGTCCATACGAATTTCTTTTTATGTGAAAGCAGTTCTGTTATAGGAAAAACTATATCGGAAAAATTTTCGATAAAGCGTCGGTACCAACCTGCTAAGCCTAAAAAACCCTCGCAGTTGCTTCAAATTTATCGGCGGAGGCCAGTTCATTATAAATTCGATTTTCTTGGGGTCTGTAGCAATACCACCATTTCCAATAATATATCCTAAATAGCGAACTTCAGTCACACAAAAATTACTTTTGGAAATATTTAATGTTAGATTCGCCTTACGAAATTGTTCAGACAGGCGCATTAACACTGCTAAATGTGAATCAAAATCTTCGGAAACTACACACACATCGTCTAAGTATCCGAATACACAATTCTTAAGATCGGGGGGGATAATTTGATCCATTAGACGACACATCGTCTGTGGTGCATTACATAAGCCGAATGGCATAGTAACAAATTGATAAAGTGGCCGTCCAGGGATAGTAAATGCTGTTAGGGCTTTCGATTCCTCTGTTAGAGAAATTTGCCAGTAAGCATCCTTCAAGTCAATTTTAGATATTATTTCAGCCCTAGGTAATCTTGCAAGAATTCCATCTATATTGGGGAGCGGATAAGCATCCTTTTTTGTTAATTCATTTATTTTTCTCGCATCTAAACAAAGTCTAACTTTGCCGGGCTTTATTACTAGACGCATTGGGGAACTCCATGCACTAGTTGATTCCTCAATGACACCAAGAGAAAGCATTCGATCCACTTCACTATACATCAGCTTTTCCACCGCGGGTGAGACTGGATAAAAACGTTGTTTTACAGGCTTAGATTCGCCAACATCTATACTGTGTGAAATAATTGCTGTTCTGCCAAGACCTTGTTGTTCGAAGTTTGGGAAAAGCGAAACCACTGCCGCTAATCGTCTGTGTTGATCTGCCGATAAGGGATAAGCATTTGAACTTTCTGCAGTTTCACCAATAGAATCAATCGCTGACACCAGAGCTGGGGCTAAACCAAAAACCTTCCAAAAATCAATTCCTAAAATAACTTTTTTATCTAGTGAAGGAACAATAAAAAACTTGATTTGTTTTGATAAACCATTATAGGACACATCTGCTAATACAAATCCTATCACGGGATGATTTTTACCATCAGCAGTTTTAATTTGTGAAGTAATCTTTCTAAATTGGGTATATTTTTCCCAGTTACCTTTTGCCAATGCTGCGCCAAGACAACTAATGTTTGCGCCGGTGTCAAGTAAACCTTGTTCTACAAAGTCTAAAAATGAAACTCTGGCATAAAATCTTCCATCAGATGACTCATTCACCAAAGCCGACACTAGCATCTTTTTAGTTCGCCGAACACTGTGACAAAACCTGCGTAATCGCCTCGTAGAACGTCTTGGTCTACGTCGTATATATAAACTATCATTAAAAATTTCCGCACGAGCTTTTATATAATTTTGGTAGCGCTCATGATATGGTTTGATTGGGGTTAAGATTGGGGTTGTTTTGTTATTATTTGGGAGAATAGTTGTACGATCTGATTTATCTGGGATATTTTTAGCCGCTGGCGGGCGTTGTGTAAATAAAACAGCATCTCCTATTGGGCCACCCGACTGCTGCCGGCGGACTGACCCTTCAACAGGTTTTCCGACTTTTTCCCTAAACAAAAACTGCACTGCGGCTTATAAATATTCTTCGCTCCGCAGCCATAACAAAATATGTTCCGAGCTTGGAGGCACATATCCCAAGTGTGGCCTTCTTCGTCACAATTCCAACACTTGTAAGGTTTCTTGAAAATGGTAATAGCATTTACTGATACAGATGGTTCTTCTGAATTCAACTTACTCACGCTTTCACTTATCTCCGAAATCTGCCTTTCACTGGTACTGTATTAGTTTTAACTTTGCTACGTCTGAAATCTTCTTCCTTTAACAAATTCTCTCGCATCTGAACCAGTTGACGCAAATGAGCAACTGAATGGACGGGAACATAGAGTAACTCATGACGTATTTCCGGCCTCAGATTCCTTTTAAGTCTTTTGATGAGCCGATGCTCATCTATTGGTACTGCCAACCGAGATATCAGATCGACAATATCATCATAAAATGCGTCGAACGTTTCACCATCTTTTTGCTTACGCGCTCGAATTTCCTCACGCAAAATATCTTCGTCTCTGCAATCGCGATACTGATATTTAAGCGCCTCGCAAAAACCTTGCCATTCAATCTGATCTACCTGCTTTCGATACCCGCCAATACCAATCCCTAGCTTTACCTATCAACAGTATATGAAGATTTTTACAGAGATAGGAAAAATTATTATTTAAACTATCTTCAGTTAGTGCACGAATTCTGTATAGAAACTCTTGTACTGTAGGACCTTTTGTTGATCCATCAAATCGAACATTCCAACTTTGCACGATTTGGGTCACCTTTTCCGGACTAAGTGAAGACATAACATTCGATCTTACGGATTGTCTAACTTCATCTGTGCGAATTCCTGTTCTTTCCGACGCATGATGAGCTTGAGAGCTTGCCGAATGACTTGACAAATTTAAACTTGAAAATCGTCTGTCAATAAGATCCTCTAGTTTGTCATAAATTCTTTCATAATCAATAGTATTTGCTGAAGCTCTTTCAAAGTGTACAGGAGAGCCTCGCCTATCATGTCTTGTAGTTCTACCTACTCTAGGTCGACCTCTGTTGCCTTTACTTAATTTAACAATTCCTGCTTGTTGCTCTTCATTATAAACTTGCTTCAGGGTTTGTGTTGGTGCTTCCAAACATTGCGTTTGATCAGCCACCGTATTTTTTTTCTGTTCTTTTGATCTACCTCTTGTGTTATGCACTTTTGGGGTATTTATTACATTTGTATTGTTTGGTGCTTGAACGTCTGAATAAACAGTCCAAGGCTTTAAATCACGCGGATGACACAATGCCTTGCATACTTTGCATTCGCTAACATTAGATATCCAGTCTGTAATACATGGTCTATGAAAAGCATGATTGCATCTAGAAACAACTACATCCTGTGTTTCTAATAGTGGTTCACTGCAAATTTCGCATCTAGCTTCGAGCACAGGCTCACTTACTGGAAGACTCGCAATATCCTCACAACTTCTTCTTACTGGCATATTTACCAAATAATTAAAAATTGGTTTTTTTTTTTTTTTTTTTTTTTTTTTAAATAAACAAAAATGTATATAGATGACTAAAAAAATCTATGTTGTTTCTCCTAACGATATTTAAGGGATAAGAAAGGTGAAGGAAAAATAATGCTGTTTTGGGCTATTGTAGATTTTAAGAAAATATAATTATTTTTCAATAGAATAACTGCAAAAAGAGAAACATGTTCCTTTCCCAAGAATTCACCAGCACAAGTTAAGTCAATGAACTTTTCCAAGCGGACTGTGAATTGGTCACTCGCCAAAACGCAATTTTCCATTCTTATCAAAGAACCTACTCAACAAAACTTATGAACCTTACGGAACGAAAGCATGTAACGACACAGTATAGGACAACAAATATGAGAAAAGAAAGAAAAGAAAAGAAAAAGAAGAGGAAAGAAAAAATAAGATACAAGATTAACCACTGTCCTCAGGTCAGAAATTTGGTCACTGCCAAAAGTTATGATTTCCATAAGGAAGAAAGCTAAATTTAATTTATGACACTTTCGAACACTCTTTATCTATCTTCGGGTCAAAGATTTGGACCTCACCAAAAACTATGATTTCCACAAAGGAGAAAACAATGCCTTTTTTACATGAAAATGACAAATAGAAGCATACCAGCATGAAAACGTAGAAAAATGTAGATCGGTCGATATTTTGAACACACGCCAAAAGTCGATTTCCGTATGTCCCATCTTCCTATGCAAACTAGTAGCTAGAGAAGAAAAGATAGTAGAAAATAGGGAAAAGAAGATTCACTTAAGCCTCACGTTCGTCTTAAATCATCTAACTGCCTCGGCCCCACGTTGGGCGCCAAATTATGTAATGTGAAATTAGTCTGGTTCTCATCAAATTTATGTAAGGTGAGAACAGATAAGGTTGCACGCCAAATTTTTTTACTGTACAGAGATGTAATGTACACACAATAAGACACGTATAATGTACAACCATACACATTCTATGGGCTGACGTTGTTGGGGGAGAGGGTCGGTGCGGGATACATTGACGGCGGCTAGCAAAACAGCCTGTGGGAGGGTTCTTGACCGTACACTCCATCAACACCCATAATACATAATTAATTTATAGAGATCCCTATGCCTGGTACATAGAAAAAAAAGATAGTTGGGGCGGCACTTGCAATAGGCTAACAGTGAAAGAAAGAAAAAAGAAAGACAATGAAAAGAATCGGAAAATGTATTAAGAAACAGCAATACCTTCTTCAAAGCTAACCAGATGGTGTGGTTGCTACGCTCTCTACCCACCCTACCAATGATTTTTCCATTGTGCGTTATTTTAAGAAAAATCCCAAGAAGAGGCTACTTCGCCTGCCTTATCCCTTTACATTAGGAAAAATATATTTAAATTCACAAAGTCATAGTTATTTTATTCAATATATAATGAAAAATACTAAATTCCAAATAAACTTCATTCTTTTCCATTTATAAAATTCAAGTAATCATAACGTAAATAAAAGAAAACCATAATCAAACTAAAATTAAAGGTTAATATTCATCAATAGCACATAAGAGTTGATAAACCAAAGTTATTCTGCATAAGCAAGAGTAATTCATAGTTGCGATATAAGTTTGTTTCCTCAAAACAATGAAAAATGATATCAGAGTATACCGGTTTAAAGAAAAAGCCATAATTCATGCATAAATATATCTAGTAATAAGCATAAGTGCATCGAGAGCAAAAATAAAAATATTATTATCAGTCGCTAGTAAAACAGTTATACCGAACTGTATCAGCAATTAGCAATAAAAATCAAAACAAACTTTGAAACTAAAAAGCTGTGATGCTGGGCATCATATGTTTAATCGTTGACGAAAAGCTTTCAAGGGCATTGACCCCAAAACTTTAAAGCCGTACTTTTATATATTTGAAATTTACTTATTAACCTGTACACTTGATGATCGAAAATAAGCAAGAAATAGATATGCAAGTTTGACTCACCCTCTGAAAAATCCGATGAAGGCCTCCATGGTTTCCAGATGTTGCTGTGTATGTTAGTATGGGATCAAAATTAATTTATACAAGCAGTACTATTTCAACACTTTCGATCTCCAATAAAAAAAAAACAAAAAAAATTAAGATATTAATATTTCCAAACTCAGCACTTATTGAGTTGCAAATGCCTGCTCTAATATATATGTATGTATGAATTAATTATATGCCTATGTAAGAGGCTCTCTTACTTTTGAACTTTTGATAAAGAAAAACTTTTGCTTTTGCACAAACCAAAATACAGTTACTTTAAACAATTGCTATTAATAGCTGATGCTTAGATAAAATTATGCCAATAAAGTTGGACTTTGTACTTGCGCTGTACATGCAATTTGTAAGCACAGGGTCTCTGCTTTTAGGTTAAGCATGCAAAAATTCGTAATATTGATATTTCTGCCTGAATTTTAAAGAAACCAAATTCGTTAACGTTAGTACACATATACGAGTATATGTGGCTCTTTCTCCTGGTTTTTGGAGGGTACTGGAGTCTTTGTAAAAGTCGAGTTCTCTCCGCCGCTGCTGCTGCTACGTTTGCTGCCTATTGAAATTCTGCCTTGTCGCTAATTTCTGCATTCAAATTCCAGCTTCGCCTGATTATCTGACGGGATGAATCCAACGTTTAATTGTGGATGAGCCGACCAAGACAATAGCTCATGTCGCCATACAACCTTATAATTTTTGGGAACATATATTAGCATCCAATTGGTTGCGTCAATATAGTCACACTTACAATATTCTTTGAAGCAAAAAATAATCCAAAATGGAACAGATAAACGCTGTGAAATGGTGATCTTACAAGGTTTTAATAAAGCCTCCTTGAGGATGGCTTCTCAATAGCACGATTTGCACACGAAAATATACACGTGTTTCACTTTTAATAATTTAAACAAAATTTATTGCAGCTAAATAAAGCACAACTGATCGTGCCAGCGGTCAGAACAGAAAGAGGTCGAGTGCAGGAAGTAATTAAATTCGTAGCCTATGTTTCAACTATTGACAGCTGTCTGACAAGCTTAACAGAGCTTTGTGTCAAATGCATATCAGTGTTAACAAGACCTTGATGCCTTTACCAAAGTGGTTTGAAGCTTCGCTAGTACCACTGTTAAATTTTGAATTGCTACTTGTATAATAATAATGAACATTTGCCGATGTGCATATGCCACTGTTCACTACAAAGTCTCTTTTGTCGTGTGTTATCCAGCACATTTCGAGTTTATACGAACTTCCTACCAAGTTCACAAATATTTTATTGGATGCCATATAACTGTTCAACTCCACTTGCATATTTGCTTTCCGGAGTACTATTACTATTTGTTTGACTTCTGACCATTGAAAGTAATGTTTTCAAATAATAGCTAAAAAAATATCTTTGCTGTAAGTGAGGCCAAGTAACCTAAATCAAAAACAGTCTGGTTTCGAAACATGTTATGTTTTAAGACTACTTTTCTCCCAAATTTCATTTCTTGTATTACAAGATTTTTTGATGCCCAATCAACTGAAACTACTCTCTCATTATGAGTACCTTCTGATACTGAATCAGTATATTTTTTAAATAAGTGACATTCAAAATATTTTTGAACCAAAGATTGTCATCAATATACGACATCTAGCTTGGCTTTCCTAATATTTGCATTACAAAATATCAACTATCGGAAACTTTTAATAGAAACGGAGCTTGGCATTATCGAAGTAAATATTTTTTTGATATTTCTTTCAACACTTAAAACTAGCAGGTCTTGCCAGTCTTTAATGGGCTCATTATTTTTGCTTACAATTATAAGCATATTTTCAATATACTATTTCTGTTTTGACACTCTCATAAGTTTCTAAAGGAACTACTAATAATTATTTCTGATAAATTACAAAAAAAATATTGTGACCGCCCTCCTCTGCGATTCTCATACCAAGTACCTAAGCGATGGCAAATCGGGAATTAAATTGTGAAATTTCTGAAAAATTAAATAATATTATTGTGAAATTAAGTAGTGAAATTTCTAAAAAATTAAATAGTGAAATTTCTGAAAAATTAAATAAAAATATTGTGACCGCCCTCCTCTGCGATTCTCATACCAAGTACCTAAGCGCTGGCAAATCTTTAATTAAATTGTGAAATTTCTGAAAAATTGAATAATAATATTTTGAAATAAGATAGTGAAATTTCTAAAAAATTAAATAATAATATTGTGAAATAAAATAGTGAAATTTCTGAAAAATTAAAAAAAAAATATTTCATAATATTATGTATACAAATATATACTATCTTTACTATTTTGTTCATTTTTTCTTAAATTTTTTGGAAATTTCATTTTCTTAATCACGAATGTTGGGATACACATAAACCTACTGACCAACACATTGGAAGCGTCCTCCAAAGACACCATCGTTGTCTCGCCAACACAGACAACATACTCGGCAGCCTCAGTTGTCATAGTTCGGGTCTTGGTGTGAGTTTTGGGTCTCTGAGTTTTCTCTGTAGCTAAGGGCCAGCGCTCTGACGCTGCGGTGCTCAGATTTAATTGAGTTTGCAATTGTTTTGCGGCTTTGCTGCCATTTTGGGCAAGAGTTGTGCAAGTTATTTCAAGTGCTGTAGGACTCACATTTTATGCGAACTTAAATTTTGCACCATAAAGTGAATGCTACCGTTGAACTTTGACCAGCAGTGCACGTAAGGCAGCACCACTGTCCAACAGTCGTCCACGTTGGAGTGGTGGGCAGCTAACGGCACAACTTCCGTTTGCTGTTTGTTGCACGTCTGCCTACCTTGTGGCCTGTCGTCCACTTTTGCAGCTAACCCAACGCACAGCGTATACCATGTTGTTACTTTAATTAAGTTTTGCGTTTGTGGCGCAAAAACGTAAATTAAGTTGCTGTCCAGGAGTGGACGACGTGCCGAGTGAAAGATTGCAAGTCGTCACATAAAGTAAGCCGCAAACCTAACTCAGCCAGTAAAAGAGCAAATGAGGTAGTTTTTGGCCGTCGTTCAGACATTTACGCCGTCGCCGACCACGCTTTTACTTCTGATGATGTTCCCTTTCACATTACAAAACCATACTACAAATTAAAAAAAAAACACCATTTCAATTAACTTACTTTTTTTATTAACACTTTTAGTGAGTGATATATAACATGTGCCTTTTGCTGGCCTGTTTTGATCTCGAAGTCTGCTTGCTCACCCTCGCAGCTTATAAATTTCACTCATAGAAATAAAAAGTTTCAACAAATAAAACCACTCGATGGGTCCTCCTGCATCATTAAAATAAACACTTTATACGCAGCTCAGCTGTTTAATATTTCATAAGCCCAAAACTCGAGTCTAATCTAAAAAAAATTTAAAAAGTAGCTACCTTTTTCGAAGAGTTGTTTGTAATTCTTGTACCTATTTCCATATACAATATAAATATTTATAATTTTTCCTTAACTATAATGCCTATATATAATATATATAACTATAATTTGGTAAAATTTATTTTCATCAGTCTCTTAATTCAAATTGATAGCAATAGAAGATGTATAATACAAGCTTTATATGAAAAACTTACAATACATAGAACAAAGCCTATAGAAATAACAAAAATGTCTAATAACGAATCCGATTCGGTGGGGGAAATTTATTTGCCAAACGGCCAGCTATTATATATATTTATAAATATTTATTAAGGTTTGATTATAATTATTTATATTATTACTTAAATTTGTGTAATATTGGGCCTGTCAATTATTTTAAAAGGGCAACCCTGCGCATACTTAATGCGTGGCGCAAAAAAGTATGCTGCAGTTGGAGGAAAAACTTATAATTTTCACAGCATTTCCTTTCGAGTGGCCAACAGCAGCCCCGACAAGGCCCATAATTGGCATTTTTAAACGACGCTGCCAACAACGCACAGGGAAGGGAGGATGGCGACATCGCCGAGTGGCGCTCAAGTAGTTTAGAGCGTGGCATGCTTTGCCGCAGCTACAGAAATTTGCGGTGACAGCCACTACACAAGTCAACTGAAGCATCGCTGTTGGGGTAGCCCAATGGCTCGACCGCAGCCGTCACAGCACCAGCACCAACACCAACACCAATACAGCGCCATCGTAACTCCCACAACCCTATTCACACTTCTTTCGCTGCCGTCTTTTGAATGATTTTAAGAACGCAAGCGGGTTCGCATTTTGCGCTCGAATTGTTCGAAAAGAGTGGCGGCTGCCAGGGAGCTGAGCGGCACTGTAAAGTTGGCTTAAACTTTTCCACTTGAATGGCAACGGAAGGTTTTATGTGGCCGCGTCGTCGAGAGCTACATTGTGTTGCAGCGGCGCATGAAAGTATGCAGCATGAAATTTGTGCGCTGCAACAAATAAATATTTGCTGCCCCACCCCCAACCATCACACAACCCTCACAACCGACTGAGTTCAGGCAATGCCGCACTCGTATTTTATGGCGCCGTTGAATTTATATTTGCACTTAACAAGCGCCACACACACAACAACTACACTAACAACCACTTTATGTGGTATTGCCAAAAAGAAAAGTTTGTTTGGCTTATTTTTGGTTACAAATCAAATCCAAAATCGCATTAAAATTGCATGCAGCGGAAAAAATTGTATGAAGGCGAGGCCAGCGGCAAAATTACAGAAAGTGTCGCGTATGCCATGAACCACTGACTGACAACAACAACTGCAACAACTTTGCATGCCTGCCATGTTTCGTCAAGCAATGCAATACAATACATATATACATAGCTGCCTCTGCATATACGTATTTTTTAGGGTCTTGCAATTGAATTTTTGCGAGACGAAATCACTTCAACGCCTTCGGTTTCAATTTCCGTCACATTTCCAACTTGAATTTGGTTATTGCATTTAGTTCGATTGTACTCGTATTGTTCATGAAATTGCCTTTTTGTCGAAGCACCGCATTGGACTGTTTGGTAAATATTTTCACTAAGACTATTGTTATGTAGATCTTGCTCTTTCCGTTTGTTGTGCAACTGGCAAAGCTCTCAATTGAAAACAATTGTATGCATATACATTGTTTGGGGAAAAGGCTTAACGAGTAGAGAAGCATTTTGAAATACATATAACGGAAAATATTTCAAGGCATCAAAATTGATGGGAAAGCCACTTAGATGCCCAAGTCCCTGCAGGAAGCAAAAACATATTTTAAATTACTTTTGTCATCATTTGTTGCATTTGTTCTTGAATCAAGATCACAAACTTCAACTTTAATATTAGAATATGTATATATATTTTCTTAACTAAAAGCACATGGTTACAAAGTACATTAATTGCAGAGTTTTTGGCGAACTTTCCGATATTGAAACCAAACTAAAACTAGATCTACTTCACTACTTGACTGTGCTCGACCAAATGCGCTTAAAGCTTAAACATGTTTCCTACTCTACAATGTAGACAACCAAATATGCTTTTAATGATGTAAAGCAAAATATAGTTAACCTTAGGAGGTTGATAACGCATTATGTAAATCCAATGGGAGAAATAATAAACCAATCTATCAAGCAGTTTTCATTCAATTAGTCTTTTTTACTTTGTATGTGAATATTTTTTTTATATATTAAACTTAGCTTCATCTTCATACATAAATACTAAGCTTAAAGCTTAAGTCCATATTTGGAAATCCATTTAAGACCTTCTGTGGTTGTGGACTTTGGTTTATATTCACACCCAATCCAATCGTCATAGTCGAACTCTGAAAGCATTTCAAATATATACCCAAAATTAAGTTCTCCGCGTGTATCAGGCTCGTTGCGGCTTGGCACTTGTGCTATTTGAAAATGTCCAATATTAGGTTTATATTCCTCTAAGGCGTTGGTTACATTCCCCCTTATATGCTGAAGATGATAGAAATCCATCATTAGTTTTATGTTATCACTGCAAACTTCTTGAATAGCTACAGCGGCTTTTTCGTACGAATCTAAAAAATAATTCGGTATGGCATATTTATTGATGGGTTCAATAAGTCCCACCATATTATGCTGTTTTAAGCTATCTGCTGCAATTTTAAGATTTGAAGTAAAGACTTTAAAGTGTTCTTTGCTCGGTCCATTCCCTATAATGCCTGCCATCAAGTGTATTTTCTTACAATGGACAAGTTTTGCAATTTGAATTGTTTCGTCTAATTGCTCTTCGAATAATTTTTCTGCTCCAGGTATGCTAGTGGTTCCG